TTTTATTGGTTTTCTCTTCAATGCTATGCCAAATACCAAAGATGAAAGTACGGAAATGTGTTTGTGTGGTCCATATGAGGGACCATTATCACCTTATATAGCTAAAAGCAATGAGGATTGCATGGTTGCCTTTAACAGTTGTGGGATAGGCCTGGATGTCATCTACAGTACTTTCCTTATTTGGTGTGCCATGATTAGAGCTCTATTGTGTCATCTATAGTGCTTTCCTTATTTGATGTCATCTACAGTATTGGCAATTATTCAAGAGAAACTTCGAGCAAAGTGTACGAATCCATGTATGTTCACTATCTCTTGCATGATAGACGACACTATGTTTGAAATGGCCATGCTAGATTCAGGAGCATCTATTAATGTTATTCCATATTCTGTATACACTTATTTGAAACTTGGACCTTTAAATAAAACTGGTGTGTTAATTTAACTAGCTAATAAATCTAATGCATATTCTAAGGGGGTAGTTGAGGATGTTCTCATGAAAGTTAATGAATTGGTTTTTCTTGCTGATTTTTATGTGCTTGACATGGGTAATAGTAATCATACTACCCCTATCTTGTTAGGAAGACCGTTCTTAAGGACATCCAAAACTAAAATAGATTTTAATAATAGCACATTNTGGATTTTAATAATAGCATATTGACCATGGAATTTGATGATAAGATCATTAAACTTAATATCTATGATTCCATGAAATATCCGTGTAATAATAATCATGTTCATTTTATTGATGTGATTGATCAATTAGCACATGATATTTTTGAATTTGATACTAAAAACGAATGGAAAGCTGTCAATTATGATCATCTTGGGAAGGAAAATCAGAAGCTGGCTTTGAACACTGAATTACAAAAAACTATTGCAATATTGAACAATCTTCCAAAGTTAATTCAGGTAACAGTTCTTATTTTATTTTACCAGTTTCTAATGAGAGGCCTCTAATTTCTGTTTTGTAGACTTCTATTTCAAGTTTAAAGCCTCACCTCAGTCACTACAAGTATGCATTCCATGGAAGTGGATGAACACTGTCAGTTATCATTCCCAATGGACTTGGTGCATCACAAGGTTGATCGAAGCCAACCATAGTAGACCTGGGCTAAACAAAGAACCATTGAGTTGAACCAAAAAAAATAAACAAAGACGCTACTTGGGAGGCAACCTAAGGGGAGTTCGTTCCTTTATCTTTATCTTTTTATTTTTATTTTTCGCTTTCATATTTTAGTTATCTATCTTTTTCTTTCCATTGCACCTTACATTGGGGACAATGTAAGTTTTAAGTGTGGGGAATGGGATTTTGATTTAGGTTGCATTTAGATTGAGTTTAAATTTCAAAAATTTTGAAACTTTTTTTTTCATGATTTTTCAAGAAGAGGAGTTGAGGTTAAATGATTTTTTGGTTGTATATTCTATTTGCAAGAATTAATTAGGCTTTTGAAGAACTCATAACGTGATTGAATGAATAATCTTACAACTTAGAGTTAATTGGTTGAGTTATTTTTTTTGAGGATGGTGGTAACTAAATTTTGTAGACAAACATAATTAATGATTTTGAGCATTTAGACTGATATATCCATAATAGTCTCATTATTTCTTTCATATGTGATATTCTTCCATAATTTTATTTCTCTAGAACTTGGTTTAATTCTTTTCAAGATCACATTGACACATGCATGCATGAACATGATTATGGCCATCTTTGTTACATAAATTAGCCACCTTAGCCAAATAGCATACCCTGCAATTAATTTTGCCCTTTGATGTGCCCCTTTGAGTTTTATTGTCTTTTCTTTTGAAAACTCACGTTACAAGGTTTAAACCTGGAAAACAATCTTTACCCAAGCCTTAAAACTAGTGGAGTATTGTTCATCATCATGATATGTGTGGGCATGCAAGAAAATAAGTATGAGGATGTCAAAATTTTTTATAGAGCTATGATTGGTGGAATGGAACATGCTTCAATTTCAATTCATAAGTTCCACTATGGTGTAACATTTGGAGTTTATATTTCAAAAAAAAAANCCTTTTAAACAGATGAGGGTCGAGAGCTTATATCCATGAGGTCTACATGTTTGGTTTATTCCATCTTCATATGAGAATGCTACTTAATTGATTATCAGTTATGTAAGAGTTTTTATTTACGATGTGTTGTGTGTTTTAAAGAGTTTGATTGTTCTATATTCATGGCATTACGACCTGGGTGTTTTTAGGGAATTAAATTTGAGTTTTTCAGAGGACGAGTAAAAGCTAAGTGTGGGAGAATTTGATAGGAATGTAAAATACATATTTTTCCCTCCTTATTTTATGCACTTGTATGTTTATTTTGTGCTAAAATGTACTCATTATATTCATCTTTTGATTGAGGTGACAATTCTATGGATATGATGTAATTTGGAAGAAATAGGTAAAAATGGACCAAAGTGAAAGGAAATGAAAGTTCAAGGACTAGCGTGCAAATACACAAAAGTTATGTCAAACCAAACGATGAAGATTTGAGAGTAAATTGGTTGAAAGAAGACATCAAAGGGATGAAATATCTCAAAGTATGATCACACATCAATTTCCAATCGAAAAGTTATACACCGATTTTCAGCCTCATATTGAGACCCATTTTTGACATGCCGAACGATGAAATTGGAAGATTATATCTGAAATAAAGTTGTAGCCCTTTGAGTTATCTTTCCAATGCATCTTGAATCGCCTCAATTGGATATCGGGAGAAGATGATATACCAAAATACTGAAAGATATTTTGAGAAAGTTTCGTAAAACATGCGATCGCATGGCTTTAATTCCATGTGGCCGTAAAAACCACTTCCGAGAGTTTGAGGGCTGAGTTTACTTGTTCTATGCAACCGCAAGCCTCAAAACCATGCTGCCGCATGGTTTATTTTCGACGCGAAAATTTTGGTTTCCAAATTTAAGTTAACTACCTATGGAAACAACTATAAATACATATTTTAAAACCCTAAAACAGAACCACAACGTAAAGAACGCCTCCAAACTCCATTCTTCATTATTTTTCTCTTAGATTCATGAATTGTAACTAAACGTTTACACTTGTTCGAAGGAGACGGAAGCCTCGGAACCATATATTGTGAGATCTAAATAGTTTTTCTTATTGTTTGATTTATATTTTGCGTATTGAATGTTCTTCTGCATTTATTTCTATGATTTGTTGCGTTTAATTGCTAGAGGGCCCGCTAGTTTATTGATTGTAACAATCTACCGCTAAGTTAAACATCAAATCCGTAATTGTTTGATCTCTTTAACTTGTGAAGCACTAGNATCTCATTAACTTGTGAATCACTAGGATTTGGTGATTTTCTGCGATAGAGGTTATTGAATTTTAAGAAGAATGTTTAAATATATTGAATGCAACCGCTGGTGTTTGTGTTACCTAGTTCATCAATTTCTCTATCATGTAAAGCTATTATTAAATGGAATCTTGAATGCTGGTCTGGGGTTATTTAATAATTAGGGTTAATTAGAATGCTGATTTCTAACTATCTAAAATTAAGGAGAAATATGAATTAATTCGAACGATGAATATTCAAAATATGAATTGAATTATCATTGCATCTATGATCAATCGTGGGTTTTCGACGGTGGATGTGAACTTAGACCAAGGTTAGTCTTTTGATTGTTTTCGTCAATTTAATTTTAACGGCTGGAGAGCATTATATGGTTGCCTACTGTTGTGGTACCACTTGGATTTCCTAGAACCATCCTTTGAGCAGTTTAATTCATTATTTATCTTCAAAGAGGATGGAAAGGAATTTGGGTGGTACTATTCAAGTGTGAAGGCCAACACAGGATGGCCTATCCTGTTGGGGACTAATTCTTCGAATACAATCTAAAAGAACTTTTTTTACGTTCGTGGTGACTCACAATTTAGGCCAAATGAGAGGAACGTGGATGAAGGCCAACACAGGATGGCCTATCCTGTTGGGGACTAATTCTTCGAATACAATCTAAAAGAACTTTTTTTACGTTCGTGGTGACTAATTCTTCGAATACAATCTAAAAGAACTTTTTTTTACGTACTATTCAAGTGTGAAGGCCAACACAGGATGGCCTATCCTGTTGGGGACTAATTCTTCGAATACAATCTAAAAGAACTTTTTTTACGTTCATGGTGACTCACAATTTAGGCCAAATGAGAGGAACGTGGATGATGTTGTCCCGGTTTGATATCATAAGAATTGTAAGTTATCTTCTCTTCCATTTCCATTTATTTTACTACTTAGACTGAACTAAAATGATCGTTTGTGTTTTGCAGTTTATCTCCCATGTACCATTACCTCTAGGACTCTATGAATTGCTGATGCTACAAAGGCTTTACCTAACCCCCAAAGGAACTACAACAACTTAATTATGAACACCAATCTACGTAGTGTGGGTCTTAATGTCTTCTGTGCGACCTGCAGAAGTCACTCCAATCCTGTCATTCACTTTCCTTGGTCCACCACCATTTCAAGTGAGTCTTTCTCCTCGTCAGTCTCCAATTGGGCAACAATCATCCCTGGTAGTATGGCCATCCACTCTTGTTCTAGAGAGGCCATCTTTATCTATTCCAATAAAAGGGGCTTCTCGCCAATTGAGGTCTTCATCACCACCTCTTCCACCAGTTAGTACTTTGACCTCTCCTCTTTTTTTATTGAAATGGTCTTAACTGGGAGAATATTGGATCAGCTCTTAGACGTAGATTTATGTTATATAGGCCTCAAAAATACTAGAAGATGAGGCTCAAAAGGCTATACAGGCAAAGAGAAAGACTCTCATGAATGATGATGACGATAAAGACGAAGACGAAGACGAAGATCAAATTCCTTTATTACGTAGACATCACTTCGACATTCATGGTTTTTCCCCTCATTAAGAGGAGATTCTTGACATTTCTGAGGATATTAGACCACCTCCTCCAATTCTACATCCAGGTCCTTCATTGCCTTTTTTCCTCATTCAACCCTTAGAATACCTGATGAGATGAGGTCTGATGCATTAATGGGTACCTCCAGAGGCATTCCTGGCTTTTTTAAGAACCCCTCCTCTAAGGTCGAACTTACTTCGTCCCTTCCTCTAGCAGTGAAGACTTCTACTGATCTGCTTATAAGGGGCTGGACTGAGAAAGAGCAAGGAAACTTGGAGCAAATGTCAGCGAGTGAGCCCTACATTACTACAGAGCTGCTGAATCACAAGGTCATCTTGTATATGATAGCGGTGTTTGATAAGGTATAATTTCTATTGAAAGACCACTGTTTTTCCGTCTGATACATGTCTAATTTGTTTTTTGTTTTCTATTAGGTAAAAGATGAGTTTGACAAGGTGGTCAATTTGAGAGATGAGTCTCTATGCCTACATTCTGCTTTTGAAGAGGAGATGGCACTTTATACTGAGGAGAATAAAACCCTGGAAGAGCGTATAGCCAACATGGAGGCAAAACTGGAGAGACGAAAGCATTTATAGAATAGAACGAAAAGGGCTTTTGAGTGAGCTTGGGATATTCGATCGAGACTTTGAAAGAATAACTTCAAGTTATGAAGGCTTAGGAAGATAAGGCTATCGCACACATGAAGTAGATAGAAATAGATCTATTGAAGAGCAGTCCCATGTTGAGGGAGAATGGAAGAGATCAAATGAGGAGTGAATTAGAGCAAAAAAGGAGAGAATGAGGGCTGATGAAGAGCAATCCCACACTAATAGAGTGGAGGTTCAAGCAGCTATGGAGAAGAAGAATGTTGAATATGCAGAAGCAAGAGCTCAAATGGCAGTGGCGAATTGGGAGGGTTAGTCTGCAAATGATGCATTAGCTCAGGAAGTGTATGTGGTGGGTCTGGCTAGCATAATTGGGTATATTGAGAGAGAGAGAAACCTAGCTTTGATGTAGGTTTCCTATATGAAACATTAGAAGAGAAAAGGGCTTCGTTGGTCGGGTTGAACGCTGCTGTTGGGGCAACTTCATTTTCTCCAAAGGATCAGCCACCTATTTTGCAGAAATGTTTTATCTTTTTCGCTTCATTCCAAGGTGATGATGTAATCCTTTCACAACTCAATATCATAGCTTTTTAGAATGCTGTTATATTTCGTTTCTTGGCATTTACTTAGTGAGCAATACTTATAAGGATACGTTCTCAAAACTTTCACTAAAGATGGTAATACTTAAACTCGGATTACTGAAGAACAGATTTGGAGAATTTTTTCTAAGTATTGTAGCACTTACAAACTTAGTTTGTTTGAATTGCTGAGGAGTAGGTTTTAAGAATTTTCACTAAATGTTGTAGCACTCATAACCATAGCTCGAACTACTGAGAAGCAGGTTTTAAGAATTTTTACTAAGTATTGTAGCATTTACAACCTTAGTTCGAACTGTTCAGGAGAAGGTTTTAAGAATTTTTACTAAGTGTTGTAGCACTTATAACCTTAGTTCGAATTGTTGAGGAGCAAGTTTCAAGAATTTTTACTAAGTGTTCTAGCACATACGACCTTAGTTCGAACTACTGAGGAACATGTTTTAAGAATTTTTACCAAGTATTGTAGCACTCACAACTTTAGTTTGAACTGTTGAGGAACATGTTTTAAGATTTTTTTTACTAAGTGTTGGAGCACTTGTAACCTTAGTTTGAACTATTGAGGAACATGTTTTAAGAATTTTTACTAAGTGTTGTAGCAGTTATAACATTAGTTTGAATTGTTGGGGAGTAGGTTTTAAGAATTTTTACTAAGTGTTTTAATGCTTATAACCTTAGTTCGAATTGCTGAGGAACAAATACACATCAAGATTTTCAATAGCCAACATTTTATTATATGGAAATTGGTCTACATAGTTTGATACATATGACACTCTTATTGATATTACTTTTTTAGGTGTTTTGCATTCCAGGTATATGGTAGAGGGTTTCCTTCCATATCTTCAAGTTCGTATGACCCCTTTAACAAGATGTTAACAACTCGATATGGTCTTTCCCAAATTTGTTTGAGTAACCCTGCATTGGAATCTCAAGCGGCTAGGAAAGCTTTTTTGAGTACCAAATCACCCACTTCAAATCTTTGAATCTGCACTTTTTGGCTATAGTATCTTGCATTTCGTTGTTTGTAAATAGAGGTCCTTAGTATGGCATTTCTTTTTTGTTTTTCCAATAAGCCGAGTTTAGTGAGGAAAGCTTATCTGTTTTTACGTTCTTCGAAGTAGGAGGTGTGAAGTGAAAGGACTTTTACTTCGAATGGAATGACAGTTTCTAATCCAAACACCAAAGAAAAATGAGTTTCTCTGGTGCATGTTGGGGATGTGGTTCTGTAGGAACACAATACACTGGGAAGTTCATCTGCCCATGCTCATTTGGGGTTTTCAAGACGAGTTTTCAAGGTATGTCTGATGATTTTATTGACAGCTTCTACATGTCTATTGGCTTGTGGGTGATTTGGGGTGGAGAAATGTTTCTTGATTCTGAACTCTTTACAAACGTCCTCAGTCGAGCATTATCGAACTGTTTTCCATTGTCTGTTACGATGGAGTGTGGTCTACCAAATCTATGTATGATAGATTTTCATATAAAATCCATGGTCTTTTGTCCAGTTATTTTAGCTAAAAGTTTGAATTCTACCCATTTGGTGAAGTAGTCAACAACTATTATAGCGAATTTAGTTCCACCTTTGCATGTTGCTAATGGGCCAATTAAATCAATTCCCCATTTTGAGAATTGCCATGGACTGATGATGGAGATGAGTTTCTTTACAGGAGCTCGAATTATTGGAGCAAACCGTTGGCACTTGTCACATTTCCTGACAAATTCTAGAGAATCTTTTCATAGTATGGGCCAAAAGTATCCTTGCCAGATGATTATGTGTGCAAGGGACTCTCCTCCAGTGTGATTTGCACATATCCCTTCATGTATCTCCTGTAGGACATATACAGCTTCTTCTTTACTAAGGCACTTCAATAGGGGTTGTGTATCCTTTTTTGTAAAGGATGTCCATGAGGGTGTACCTAGCTGACCTTATTCTTAACTTTCTTGCTTCTGCTGGGTTAGAGGGGCCCTTTTCGGTCTGGAGTTATCACACGATTTCATCCATTCAAGAGGGTTTGGGGTATTGCCATCAATGTTGTTATATTTTCTTCAATATCACGATACTCAATTCTTCCCAATGGAATTCTTTCTAATTTATTTATTCCTTCACTCGTTGCAAGTCTTGCTAGGGTGTCAGTGTGTCTATTTTGAGATCGAGGTATCGGCTTTATTGTTAATATATTACAATTCCTTTTGAACGACCTTGAAGTAGCTGTTCATTCTATCTTCTTTGGTTTAGAAGACCTCATTGATTTGGTTAACAATGAGCTGAGATTTACTGTATATAATTAGCTTGTTCATTTTCAATTCTCTGGCCATCCTTAGACTAGCAATCAAAGCATCATATTCACCTTCATTGTTAGATGCTTTGAAGTCAAAAGTAATGGCTTGGCAAAAGAGGTGATGATCTGGATTGATCAACACTATTCCTACACCTGACCGAGTTTCTATTGAAGATCCATCATCAAACAGTTCCCAAGTTTCCTTAGATTCTTCTATTTGATGTTCTGAGCTACCAAGTTAGCTAGGGCTTTGCCCTTTATCGTTAATCATGGCTTATAAGATATGTCAAATTGTCCAAGCTCGACAACCTATTTCACCAATCTTTTTGAGGTAATTGGCTTTTGTAAAACTTGCCGTAGAAGATAGTTAGTTAACATTTCTATGGGATGCTCTAGGAAGTACGGTTGTAGCTTTTTTGCAGCCATGACTAATGCATAAACAAGCTTTTCCATAGGTGAGTAATGTAGCTTAGTATCATGGAGAGCTCAGCTAACATAATACACGAGGTATTGAATGCTGCCTTCTTTTATGACGAGTGCGGCACTTAAGACGTGTATTGCCAAGTATATTGATAATCTTTTGTGAACATTTGGTTTGGAAAGAAGAGATGGTTGTGATAACCTTTCTTTCAGTTCTTCAAAGACTTCTAGGCACTCCTTAGTCCATTTGAATCTTTTTCCTCCTTGAAGTGTGTCAAAGAGCGATTTGCATCAATTAGTGAATTGGGAAACAAACCTACTTAGTACAGTAATTCTTCTGGTAAGACTTTGGATTTCCTTAGGCTATGTTGGAGCTTTCATTTCAAGAACAGCTCAAATTTTCTCATGGTTCACCTCAACACCTCGATAGTTTACCATATATCCTAGAAATTTTCTAGAACTGACACCAACAGCACATTTTAAAGGGTTAAGCTTTATTTTATACTTTCTAAGAATGGTGAACATTTCTGACAAGCATTGGATGTGGACTCTAGCTTTTGCTTTTTACCAACACGTCATCTAAGTAGATATCCATGGTTTTTCAAATTTGTTGAGCAAACATAGAATTTACAAGACTTTGATACGTTGCCTCGGTGTTTTTCAGACCAAAGGGAATTACCCTCTAATACAATCATCGGTCGACGATGAATGAAGTGTGTTCTTGATTAGGTTCATACATCAAAATTTGATTGTATCCTGAATAGGCATCCATGAAGTTGAGAAGTTCATGCCCCACAGTTGCATCGACCATTTGGTCTATCTTGGGTAATGGAAAGCTGTCTTTGGAACAAGCTTTATTTTGGTCAGTAAAGTCTACGCAGACCTTCCAATCTCCATTACTTTTCTTTACTAGGATAGGATTGGCCACCCATTGAGAATGCTTAGCTTCCTTTATGAAATTGTTGCTGAGTAATTTATTTACCTCATTTCGTAGTACCTCCTACCTTTCAACATTGAGCAGTCGTCATCGCTGCTGCTTAGGTCAGAACAAAGGATCAATATTAAGTTTGTGATAGTCTATTGTTGGATCGATACCTTCCATGTCTTTATAGCTCCAGGTGAATACACCCAAGTTATTACTAAAAAAGTTCAGTCCTCAGTGGTTGTTGTAACTTGTGCCAAATTCTCAGCTCCTTTGGAGATGAGCATGTCTTGACCTGAATTTTGTCTAGTTCTTTTACTGGTTCAACCCCTTTGTTTTTAAGTTTAGTTCTAAGGTCCAGCAAACTGAGGTTAGGTTCCTCGAAGTAGGCCATATTTTTTCTATTTTGAGATGAGGTGTTTAACATTCCAAACTTGAGTGGACTGGGAAGAGTACATAGCTTCTCTATAGCTTCTTTATTTCCCTTGATTTCTTGTGTTCCATGTGCAGTATAGAATTTGATGGAGTAATGATATACTAAGACTATGGCATTCAGGTATAATAGGAGAGGTTGTCCCATTATTGCGTTGTAAGGTGAGATAGAGTCAAACACCACGTATTAAGCATTAACTTGAGTTCGCTGAGGTGCTTCTCTCATCTCGACAGACGATTTGATTTGCCCTTTTGCAGCAGTGAACACTCTATTTAACCCGAGGATAACATTTGAGTATGGTTGTAGGAAGTGAAGTGGAATTCCCATCCACTTTAGTGTATTGA